GGATTATCTCAAAATCTATTTTTATATCTAATTATAAAAATTTTAAAATAGTTAAAATTAAGTAGATCTATAAACATATAAAAATCTTGAAAATGGACTGTGTAGATAATATGTTGTAAAATGCACTATTTCTGAGATTTAAAATCTTTTTATTTTTGGAAAAATTTCATACATATTCCTAATTCCCCATTGCATTTCACGGTAGACCCACATTTTATTTTTCTTTCAAGCGGCATAAAAAAAACCCTAAAGTATTTCACCGCACCCCTCACCCTTTATCTCCTATGTTTATTCACTTTTGGCTATAAAAACTAACTCTAGCAATTTGTTTTATTCCATCTCAATCCAATTTTTTTTTAAAAAAAATGTAAAATAGGGTTAAAAAGGCTTTTGGATTGAGATGAAATCAAACAATTTGTTGGGGCTAGTTTTTGTTGCTAAAAGTGAATAAATGTGGAAGAGGAAAAATGAGGGGGTACGGTGAAATACTCAAGGGTTTTTTTATGCCGCTTAAAATAAAATTAGGATGAGGGTCTACCGTGAAATAAGATGGATAATTAAGGGTTTGTACAATATTTTCCATTTATTTTTCATAGTCATACATCTTGATGTCGAGATAGTCAATGAAAAGGTTTTTCAACATTAAAACTACTTTCTTCGATGGATTTTTTAGGTGCATCCGTAGCTCTACATGATAAGGTTGCAACCTTATATATATAATTTTTTTCATATATATATATAGGGATAATTTAAACTTCACAACCCTTCAAATTACAAATGTTTAAGATAGACAGAGTTATGAATAGTAGATTTATTAATTTTGTAGTCTCTTTTTTTAAAAAGAAGTTACTTTTGTGAGGCAATTTTGTAAATATTACTACATAACCAAGGGTACTTTTGTCATCTTCATAAGGGATAAAGTTGAAATTTTAACTAAATGACAAGGGCACTCTACAAACAAAGTTTGAATAAACTAATTTCCAAAATGCCATTATATTTTTGTGAAAATTTCAAATTGTTGATGCTTAATAGTAAAGTTACATATTTAAATAATTTTTTAATTAAAAAATAATGATTGTTTTGATAAATACATCCATCACAACCCCTCCTAACTTGAACCTTTGTATTTTGAGGGGTTGTAGACAAACCCACATAT